CTTAAGGGACTTGCCCACAGTTGAGGAGCAGCCAAGTTTGCAGTTTTCCTGCAGGTGTGCAAGCAAACCCAGCCAAAGAATCTTCTGCACTGGCCCCAGGCCAGAGCAGGCTAAAGGCTCTGAGAAGTCCTGCAGCCTGGATGTTGGGTTATCTCTGCTTAACCTAGCATCCTATGGGGCCTTGCTCTCGAGGAGCACTTAGAGCTTTGGGAGTCACAGAGCAGTGGTTGGGAGCGAAGCCTCTGCGCCCTCGCTTTTGAGATGGGGGCGTGCATACCCACCTGGCTGGGTTATCACACAGTTTTTTATGTTCTTTTCGAATGAGCACTCAGCAGGGAGTCCTCCAAAGAGCAGCCCGTCAGCAAATGTTTGTTAAAGGAAGGAGCAAACGAACCGCCAGGCGAATACAAAAACGAACGCCTGGACAGAGGAATGGACGGGCGCAGTGCTAAGCAAAAGGCACCAGGGAGCAAAAGAATAATTGAGTAAAACGGACCAATGTCTGAACTCGCGGATTCACTCAAGCGTCCAACAAATACCTAGGGAGCACCGACGGTGCAGGCGCTGGGGGGCTAACAGTGTCCCTGCTTTGGGGCCGTGATGTTCTAGCCAGAGGAGACGGAAAACAGGATAACTAGGTAACACAGAAAGTAGACCAGACGGAAACACGGGAGGAAGGAGCCAGGGGAGGAACATGGTGCACAGGCCGGGGGTGCAGGTCTGAGAGCAGGGAGGCGGTACATGAAGGAGTGACTGAATGCCTGGGAAAGGAGCGGGTGGGTGCGGGCATGAACCCAAGCACCCTGGCTGCCTGCGGGGCCAGGGGCCTCTGGAGAGGCCTGCAGAGTGAATGGGTGTGGGAGCCAGCGCGGGAACAAATGAGCGGGCTAATGCAAGAATCACGGAATGAATGAGTGAATTCATGAAGGTTTGCATGCCCCCCCCTCCCCGCGTGTCCGCGTGGATCTCTGTCCCCACCGCGGGTGCTGACTGCGCTTGACGTTGCCAGAGGAGCCCCC